TCCCATTATAACTTCTATGGTCACCTGTTTACTATGTGTTTGCCTATCCATCGTATATGTTTGCTCAATTACTTATTGCTAGCTTATCTAAGGTTATAAGCTAACTGATAATTTACATTTATTACTTGTTTATTTGTCTTACAAGTTTTTATATATAACCTAAGTGATAGTTATATAGATATCTACCACTTGAAATCTACCTAATAGTCATAGTCTTAAGACTAAAATTATAAGCTAACTGATAATTATAATAAGCTACTAATCGTATTCTTATAATCTAACTAATATTTATAACTTAAAGGAAACTATTTAAAACAGAAAGGCTCTTATCATTAAGATGATAAAATAACATTCTTGGTAAAGGGAGATTAGAGCAACCTAATAATTAAAAGACTTGGCATTATAAGTAGCCATAATAGACCAAAAAACCATACATTAGTTAACAGTTCACATAACACAAATTACCTTCTACACATTACACTACTCTTGTTAAGTCCTTTTCCAAAAGCATATCTAGGACTTTGCTACATAAAGCCTAAACAGAAAAATACTCCCAATGCCTTACACTAGCACTAGATCAATATCAAATATTATGGGATCACCTTTTCTACACTTAATAAAAGTGCCTTCATCCTCTTGAACATTGTACCAATCAATGAATTCCCTAACACCAATTTTTAATGAGCATTGAATGATCACATTGCCCTTCTTCACAATTTTCAGTTGATCCTTGAAATGTGTATCAAAATTCAGGAGAATAACATCAGTTGAGTCACCAAGTCTAGCTAAAAACTCCTTAGCAAAATGCAACGAGACATTTTGCAAATGGCAACACCAAAAGAACGACATTAATTCAAGGAAAAAGCTTCTACCACAATCAGTAATATTACTTAATATCACTTATTACCAGCTCTTACAATAATTCCTTGCTGAAGATAAGCTGCTTTGAAAATAAACTTAAAAATCGGCTCACGACAACCAGCAACAAGTTCATTGATCCAGGCATTTGTCTTAATCATTTTCTCTGAACTCCCTTCAACAACAGCTTTGCGCCCACGTCTCTTACTAGAAATGCCATAACCCTTGTCGTGTCCTGGCCCTTGCGCTTTCTTACTTCCCCCTACAAATCTAAACAATGAATGAACTCTAACGCTAAATAACTAAAATTTAAATCATCACCAGCATTAAACCATTATCCTCCACAAAGTCTGACCAGCCAGCCTCCAAGACAGTTTTCCAACCATCACCATCTTCTTTAATGTACCATAGTAACATCCCAAGATCTAGAATCACCATGCACTAACAATTCAACACTTAAGAATCCATCATCCAACAAGTCTTTGAAACCATCAGGGCTATGCTGTAAATGGATACACAATCTAACAAATTAAAACCAAATAAAGATATAAAAGTAATAATAAGAGTAACAATAAGAATACATTAACAAAAGTGATATATTTATGCAAACATTGTTGCAATCATAACAAAATTAAATCCATATAAATAAATTCCCATACCAACTTATGTTGATGTTCAGTTTCATAACGAATAGTGAACGTGAAAGCAAATTCAGCCATGCAATTCTAATGTAGTTTTATGAGCTATATAACTATGGTTTAAATCTACAGAGCTTGGTGAATGCTTGTTAAACCATACAAAGGATGCTACATATAGAGCAAACAAAACCATAGAAAATGGTATCACATTAAATTAATTAATTTCATCAAAGCTTAATGCACATACATCCAAATAAATGACTTTGACAAGAAAACTCTTTAACAAGATTATTTTACAGAAAATATTCCTTTCCAATATTCAATGGTAGTAATTATAAGTCAAACAATATCATATACCATTACAATTTTCACTTTTTCTCTCTTTAAAATATTAATTACTTTAAATTGCAATTTAAATGTAATAAAGTTGTCAACTTTGTCATTGATTATACACTGCTAATTTTAATTAAATTGGTCCGTACCAACTACTAACTTACTTCTCTCTAAAATTGAGAGTCTCTCTCACTAGAAGTGAGTTTTCTCTAGTTGAACTAGGGTTCGTCTGTTCATCTTCCTCCTATTCTGCATGCAAAACCCTCTACTTCCCCTAATAATTAACCTAGGTTGGAGATCCATATACAGGTTTCTTGTGTGTGTGGATTAATTATCCTCCTTTTTCGAAATCCAAGAGGGTGAGCTTCTTGGAATCCCCTCCTTGCCTCGTTTCTCAGAAAAGTTCCCAACCTTTCAATAGCTTTTTGCTATTCCAAAGCTTCTGGTTTAGATTGTCTCATTTTCCCAGCAAATCAATTTAGAGCAGTAAATGCTCATCACCTAATGGTGCAGTCCATTTATTTCTAGAGTCGGCTATCCATTTAGGGGCCTATTTCTCTTCAGTTTCTTGCTCCCCATGCGTGTGTTTTTCCATCTTCCAAGAACTCTAGTTTGCTTATAAAAGAAGCGGATTATTCTCCAGTCATTCATCTTCTTCCATCTCTCCCTTTACTCTTTTCTTGTCTTTTATCAGTTATTTCTCTAAAACTTTTCTTATTCTAATACTCTTGTCCGATTTCAGTCAGTTTTTATTGCAACTCAAACCTATCATGAGCAATAATAGGAATTCCTAAAATCCTCAAACTGATCAAGATTTCAGGAATATGCGTGGGGGACCCCTTATCCCTCCTCCAGAAAATTTTGATCTGGGGAATGTTGCTATCAACTTCAACTCGTGTGTTATCGGCCTGTTCATTGGTCCCCACCCTCCTTCCGAACACTTTGTCCAACATATTGTAACTTCTCGTTGGATAAGAGAGGGGGATATAAGGGTTCATAGGTCGGGTCCGTATTTTTTATTTGAATGCATGAACTCTCAGGATCGAGAAAAATTGGGTCTTGCTAATTAAGCTATTATTGATGGTAGGATTATTAATTTTAGGAGGTATCAAGTAGACTTCGTACCTCAACATATGAATTTTACTCTTACTCGAGTGTGGGTTAGGGTGTTTGGCTTACCTCTAGCCTACTTAACGTGTAGTTGGGCTAGGCAAATTCTGAGGCACGTGGGGTATATTGAAGAATTAGAGCACGAAGGAGAAGAGCTTCCGATTCATGCTGGGCTGAGGGCTCGGGTCTTAATTGACCTCTCCATCCCCCAATCCCGGGCTGTTTTGTTTCTTTGGAAGTAAATAGAGTAATTTGGGTGTACCTTAGGTATGAAGGTATCTTTAAGTTTTGTAAGTCATGTGGTTGTTCAGGTCATACCACGTCTCGATGCTCACTCCATGCAGTGGTCGCAAGGTGAAGGGTTAGACGTCGGTTAAATAAGGTGGAAGCGGATGGGTTACGAGTACCATATGGGCTGGCTGAATACCCATTTTACTCTAATCTTATTAGAGGGCTTCCGGATTGGTATAGGTTCCGTAATACAGGGCTCGATCTCCGTTCAGTTGAAAACACAGAGGAAGCTCCATATAGGAGAGGACCAATGGTGGAGAGAGGCTTCGAGGAGGGTCATCCCTATGAGGATTCACTATCAACACAAGATAGTGAAGAGAGTGAACAATTTCACTCTGGCAGGGAGGATTGGTCAAATGAAGACTCGGAGATAATTGAACGGGAAATGGAACATGTTGGGCCGGATCTCGCGTTGTCTCCTGGTCGACGCTTGGGTCTTAGTGGTGACCCATATGTAGAATTTACGCAACAGAGGCTTGATCTTTCAAGGCAGAATGTGAGTCATGAGGGGCGTCAAAGTGCTGGAGGGGAGGAGGATAGACAGGATGTTGATCATTTCGGCTCTTCAAGGAGGGAAGGCGAATTAAACTCTAGCAGGTCTTTTGGTGTTAGGGTTTCGGAGACCCTAGAAGAGGGGAACTTTCATCCACCCCCGACCAGGCCCTTTTTCGGGGGCTCAAATTTTGAGGTGGGGCATCCTTCTTCTGCAAGGCAGGAGCATAGACAAGGAGGGGGTCCTGGTACTTTGTTCCACACTTTGGGTATTTCGGAATGGGCTTTATCTCCTATAACTTTTAAAAGGAGACAGGAAGTGTGTCACTGTCAGGGGGGAGAAAGGGTTTCAGCAATGGGTCTTTCTTTGGCTAATCATGCTCATGGTTGGCTGGATAGTCCTTCGATAATGGCGACAAGAAGAAAAGATGATTTTGAGCAGCAAATTGATGATGAGTACGCAAAAATTATTGAAGCAGACACCATCTTGTCATTAGGAATCCAGAATGCTAGGAGGTTGGAGATACAAGAATTGCGTGGCAATGCAAGACCTACATTGACGCCTTTTCTAAGGCTGTCAACGGCGGATTTAGTGGGACTGCCTAATCTCCCCCTCACGGAGTTCAATCCCCCTAATACGCCAGTATCTCATTTTAGCTCTTTTAACTTTACAGATTTTTTTAACTATGATGACAGTGCTAATACCAAGAAGAGAATTCGAGAGGCAGTTGGTCACAAGCCGCATTCATATGAAGGAGATTCAGTTAGATATAGTGAAACTGATTTTGAGTGGGTTGAAAGAAAGAGGCTCAAAAGGCTGCACGGGTGGTCGAAAAAGGGAGGTTTTTTTATTTGGTTGAGAGATGAGAATGGGGGGTGTAGGTTCGCTTCGAAGGCAATCTCGGATCCCGACATGGCGAGAGAGTTCGGGGTAGACATAGATGGAGATCTGCGCATGAGGGGTAGGAACAAAAGGCCCAAGGACCATTCTTCATCTTCTTCTGAGGCTCCTAAAAGGCAGAAAAGTGAAGAGGTGACATCGACTTTGAGGGAAGTTAGGGATGATATGGACATTGATCTACAGTTATCCATTTTTGACTCAATCAAGCTTACTACGGAGGGTGAGGAGGCTGCTCTTATCCAGCCCCCGACAGGATTATGAACATAGTGGCTTGGAATTGCAGGGGCCTAAATGACCCACACACCCTTGCAATCCCTTATCTTGTGTGGCTTTATCATACGAAATTCCCTAAGTTTTTATTTGTATCGGAAACTAAGATGGATGTTGAATCGGCCGCGTCTAGGTTAGTTTCTTTAGGTCCTACTACCACTTTTAGGTGGAATTCGGAAGGTAGTAGTGGTGGCCTCCTAGTTTTAGTTTGGTCTAATGAAGTAGTAGATTGCTTGTTTTCTTCTAAAAACTTTATCTTATGTAAGATGAATGAATCAAATGGTAGTTGGAAGTATATCTTGTTTGTTTATGGTGAAACTCAAGTTGAAAAGAGAAGGATAATATGGGAACAATTGGAAGAGTTTAAAAATGTTCTTGTAATAGGAGACTTTAACCAAGTTGAAAGTGGAAGTGACAAACTAGGGGGTTCAACTAGAATTAGAGGCTTGGAGGCCTTTCTGGATTGGAGGTTTAGCAGCAATGTGACAGAAGTTCCTTTCTCGGGCCCGAAATTTACCTGGAACAATAAAAGGGAGGGAGATGATTTGATACTAGAAAGGCTCGATAGGGCCTATGTGACAGAGAAATGGTTTGATCACTCTCCGGATGGGAGAATTATTCATGAACCAATTGTGTGTTCCGACCATGCGACTATTACTTATCACGAACAACCTTCAGAAATGGTCTCTAATACGCCCTATCAAATTGAAAATTGGTGCCTTGCTTTCCCAGAAATCAAGGATATGGTGCAGCATACTTGGAATGAGGAGGTTTCAGGGTCTTTCATGTTCCAGCTTTCAAGGAAGTTAGATAGGCTAAGGTGTAAACTCCAATACTGGTGTTTGGAACATAAAAAAGTTTGGGGGATAAACTGGAGGAAGCTTACTAAGGATCTCAGAAGCTCTGGGATGAACATCAACTTAATTCAGGAAGGGGAGGGGTACATTCGGCAGATAAACCACCTCATCCCGGAAAGCCAATTGAGTTTTAGTTTTTGGAATCAAAGAATGAAAGCGAACTGGATTAGGTGCGGGGATTGTCCAACACCCACTATGTACAGGAGAGTGAAACAAAGGCAGTTACATAACACAATCTTAACCCTAAGAAATGAGGAGGATGCATGGGTTGAGGGACAAAGAGAGGTTGAAGAGGTGATCTTATCCTCAATCAAGGATATCTACAACCCGGTTTTGCTTGAGAATCATGGGGAATACATAGATTTTCTACTTCGATAGCTCGACATCCCCACTCTCTCAGAAGAGGATCGTACTTGGCTTGATAGGGATTTCTCGGAGGGTGAAATTAAAAAACCTATGTTCGATATGCATGGCTCAAAGTCACCTGGGCCGGATGGGTTTAAGGTGGATTTCTTCAAAACTTATTGGAAGGAGGTTGGAATTTTGGTTACAGATAGTTGATAAGTCTATTTTATATAATTTTTATTCCCCGTCCCACGGTCATATTTGTGCTTATTTGAGCTCTACGGAGCTATTTTTATTGCTAATATACGTTTTTTAGTGTTTTTGTAGAGTTGGTTTTATTTTGTAGGAATTTGCAGAATTATGATAATTCCCGAGCTTATAAAGTCACTACAAAAATATTAGAGTCTGATCGTATTTCATGACCGTATATTTAAAGCCCAAGACCGAGCTAAAGGAATTTAGTCCGGTGATTAAGGGCTTGATTAATAAAGAAGTCTAACTTTTACAAGCTAGTACATGAATCATTCAAGATAAGAATTTGGACTCAAGTTAACAAGGTTCAAGTGCAAAGTCCAATTCTTGTGAAAGAAGTCCAGCTCGCTGCCAGTTTGACCGGGCCCGATCGATCAGCCCAATGCCCGATCGGGCAAATGTCTTGCGAGTTTGCTGTTGACTTATAATGTCGGTTTTGATTTCCTTTAGAGTTCTATTCTTAGTGGGATTTGCAAAAAAGCCCATTAGCTTGGCTATTTAAGGGGGTAGTACGTGGGTAGTTGGAGTTTTTTTGTTTTTTTTTTTTTTTTTTTTTTTTTTTTTTTTTTTTTAGCTTTAGTTTTATTTTCTTTTAGTTTTAGTTTAGGTTTTCTTTCCTTTTCTTTTTTCTTATCAAGTTTATTATTATTACTTAGTTTTAATATTCTTTTCTTTGTTTTCTCTTTGGTTTAATTATTTTCATATTAGTTTATAATTATTGTTTTAATCATGCTTCCTTTATACGCTTTGCTTAGTTTAGATTTAAATATATGTGAGTAGTTTTATTTCAAGGGTTTGTGGGGATCCATGAATAATACGAAGGGGTAAATTATTATTGTTTATTATTGATGATTGATTAATTTCCTATTGATTAATTTAATGCTATGCAATTAGATTAGGCCTGGTTTAATTATATGAGTCTAGCAATATTGATTCGAGATTCGACAGATGAGAATTGATGTTTAGGCTTAGTTTCAATAGGCATGTTAATCTATTAATGGTTAGGTCGAGATTCGAGAGATGAGATTTAATACCAGTAGATTAATTATGTGATTATAATACGTAGCGACAGCCCTTTATAATCTGATTAATTTATGCATTGATAATTGATCGTATGTTTTACCCTGGAGTATTATTTATTGGTGAACCTATACCATAGAGCTTTTTATTATTGACTATTCCCTTAGTTTTATTTGCTTAGTTTATTATTAGTTCAATTCACACAAACACAATTTGGTTACTTAATAATTTAGATTATAATTATTGATTAGGAATAAAAGAACACTGTTTCCCTGTGGATTCGACCCTACTTCCCTATCTGCTTTAGTTAGAGGATTTGGGAATTTCTTTTGATTATGTGATACGACTAGAACCTGTCAATAGTGTTATGCAATTCCTGAAGACAGGAAATATGCTCAAAGAATGGAATCAATCTCCGCTGGTGTTGATCCCAAAGGTTAAGGTTCCTGAACTTGCTAGCCACTTCAGACCTATTAGCCTGTGCAACACGGTGTATAAGTGCATTTCTAAGTGCTTGGCGAACAGGCTTAAGTCAGTTCTGCCAGGTCTTATCACGGAAAATCAGCATGCCTTTATCCCAGGTAGGTATATGGAGGACAATATTCTATTAAGTCATGAACTGATGCATCTTATAAACTCGAAGAAAAGGTCTAATTTTACTGCGGTAAAGATCGATATGTCCAAGGCATATGTTAGAGTGGATTGGCTCTTTATCCTGAAAGTTCTACAAAGTCAGGGTTTCTCAAAACACTAGATAAGGATGATCTCACAGTGTATTTCGACGGTCAGTTTTAAGGCAATCATAAACAAGAAAACAAGTGATCATTTTGCTCCTAAGTGTGGGCTGAGACAGGGGGACCCTCTATCCCCGTACCTTTTCATTCAGTGTATGGATATTTTGTCAAGAATGTTAAACCTGGCTGAGGATATCAAGCAAATACAAGGCCTAAAGGTATCCCGAAGGTTCCATCTATTTCTCATCTGTTCTTTGCAGATGATGCTATGCTCTTCTTCAAAGAAAATAAGGAGTCTTGTTTGTGTATCTTAGACATTCTCCATAGGTTTGGTAAAGCCTCTGGCCAGCAGCTTAACCTCTAAAAATCTGCCATTAAGTTCTCGCCGGAGGTTGATAGTGATATGAAAGTAAGTATGAAACAAATACTTTCGATGGCGGAATCAGCTAACATGGGAATTCATCTGGGAGCTCCGATTGACCTCCAAGGGAAAAAGAGTAGCTACTTCCAATTCTTGGTGGATAATGTTGCGGACAGAGTTATGGCATGGGCCCCTTTAAGGTTCTCTCAACCAGCAAAACTGATCCTTATTAACACGGTGCTGGTAAGTATGTCGGCACATGTTATGAAATGCCTGAAACTCCCTCAGAGTGTTACACGCAAGATTGATGCTCTGATTACCCGTTTTTGGTGGGCGGGAAAGGGGGATAAAGGGATTCATTGGGTGAGTAGAAGGGTCATCCAACTGCCTAAGAGTATGGGAGGTTTGGGAATTGGAGGTAGTTCATTTATTAATGATGCTCTCCTCTTCAAGCAAGTAACAAGGATGCACCTTAATCCCCAACTTCTTCTCTCAAGAATGCATAATAGCTTCCATCCATGTGGAATCGGTAGTATCACTGGTCAGCTTATTAGAAGAAGGAATTCTTCAATGGGAAGAGTAAGTCTTCAAAAGGCCATCCAAGCGTTTAAGAAAGGTTTTGCTTGGAAGGTGGGAAATGGCAATAATATCAAGGCCATTAGTATGTCGTGGGTCGATGGTAACATACCAACAGTTAAATCAAGTCAAACCCTCAGAGCAGCGGTAAACTGGAAAGTAAAGGATTTTATTCACAGGGAAAATAACACCTGGAATGCAGGAAAAATTAGGGAGTGTTTCGACTGGGAAAGTGCGAAAAAGATTATGTCAATGGAGCTCCCGCGGTCTTCAGAGTTGGATGACTTCCTTTACTGGAAATATCATCCGTCGGGAAAGTATAAAGTTAAAACTGGGTACTATTATCTATCAAAGGAAGGGGAGGTAGAGAGGCTAGAATTTTTAGAAAGGGATCAAGAGTTTGTAAAGCTAGTGTGGAGACTGGTCATCCAACCAAAATGGAAGGTTTTTCTCTGGAAGCTTTTTCATGACGGTATAACAGTCAAACTTAACCTGGTAAGAAGGGGAATACGAGTAGAAGCTGTCTGTGCCCATTGTGGGGTAGATTTGGAAGACAGCCAACACCTCTTCAGATTTTTTATTCTGGTAACTGAAGTTTGGGAGGACAGTCCCTTAACTATTTGCCCTGATTCTACAGGATTCAACTCTTTGAAAAGATGGATCCAACACTATATCCTGCTTTTTAATAGCGAGGATGGTAAGAACAGCAACCGATGTGCTTTGTTTATTGCAACGTTATGGGGGCTATGGAAAACTAGGAACGCAAGATGCTTCAAAGGTACACTGGGATCGAGGAGTTTAGTAAAGGAATTTATAAATCTGGACATGGAAGATCATGAAGCATTTATACATAAGACTAGGTCAACAAATGAATGGGGGGCCACTGAGAGGGATGATCCGATCATCCCTCCGGGGTTTAACTATGTGCATCTGGGAAAGGAATACAACGGGTTTGACAATTTCATTGTGGAAGTCGATGGATCCTGGGAGAAAAGTACAAGGCGAGCGGGGATAGGATGGGCTGTTAAGACTAATCACAACAGTTTTGGCTTTGATAGAGGAGGAAAACATGGAGCAACAACGTCAGTTCTACAATGTGAAGCCTGGGCTTACCTGGAAGCTTTGAATTGGGCTCGAGAGAAAGGGACTCAGGGAATTCTTATTCTATCTGACTCCATTGATCTCCTAAACAACTTGCAGGGAAAATCTGGTAAGGACATCTCGATAGTTTGGTTAGTAAAGGAGATTAGGAAAGTAGGGGCGTCGTTTCAAAGATGCACGATCTTAAAAGTCCAGCGGGATTAGGTAGGAAAGGCTAATGACATAGCTAGGAACTGCCGGATTAACCTCGCTAATTTGTAGTAGATTTTCCTTTTGTTTCATCATTTGCTCTTGTCAAAAAAAAAAAAAAAAAGATTATACATTGCTAAAGAAATTGTCATAGCAATATGGCAATTTAGCTTATCCTATGTAGAAATAGGTACCTTAAATATTATTCTAAATGCATTCAATTATATAATTCATGATTATCTTGCCAAGTCGAACTACATACAAATCATGTTCATCTCGTCTATTTATTAGTGTCATATCCTATCTCGTGTTTATCTTATCTATTTATCAGTGTCTAATCCTACAAAAAAGTCAAATTATACACTTTCTTCCTTACATTATGTGATAAATTAGGTTGCTAATGTGTTACATAACCCTTTAATATTAGGATTGAACTATTAAATCAGACCTCTTAGTAGACGTTTTATTAATTAGTTTAACTATGAAATTATGTTTTGGGCCAAATCGTTGATACTCTTTCATCCTGCACGTCTATTATAATGAATATATCAGTATATAACCTTGCGTTTGTGGTTTCAGAACTAGCATTGTGAATTGTAAGAATGAGTTATAAAAATATGCAAGCGCACTTAGGCAAAAATTATTATGTTTCACTTCCACTCACCACACCACCCATTAATCCATATCATCCATTATACAAATCCATTTTTAGAAAGGAAAAATACACTTTAATAATCCCAACTATTGGCTTTTAATAATCTTAACTAAGGTTTAGTATGTAATAATCCCAACTATTGGGTATGTTTGCTTAGAGTAGTCCCAATGACCGGTAACCTGCTAAAAGGGTAAAAAAAAATTATTTATTTTTTAAAATCCACATGTCATCATATAATTGCTCTAAAATAAAAAAATAAATAAATTAAAAAAATTAAAAAAAAAAACCCCAAAACCCATCCTCAGCCACCTCCTCCCCCTTACCCCCACCGTGAAACCCTAAGGCCCAACCCCAGGCCACCGAAAACCGGTTGGCGATCTCCCCTAGCCCCCGCAAAACGGCCGACCGGCCTTCCCAACCCCCAAAATCATAAGCCAATAGTGCAGCGATGCTTGAATTGGTAGGAGTTGTGAGTTGCATGGCTATGGTGGTCGGGTTTGTGCGTGGCTTGTAATTAGTGGTGGTTGGAGGGCTGGAGGAATGGAGGCTTGGAGCTGCAAGTTGCGGGGTCGCTTGGGGTTGAGCGTGGTTGGTAATTGGTGGTTGTTTGGGGTTGTGTGGCTGGTAATTGGTGGCTATTTGAGGTTGCGTCGTGGCTGGTAATTGGTGGCTATTTGGGGTTGAGAGTGAAAAGGGAGGTGGTTATGTGCAGTGGAGGGTTACATTGGTTAGGGAAAGGGGTGTGACCGGCGCCGGCGACCAAAGGAGGAGGGGTCTGGGTGCCGGCTGACGCCGAGGGCAGAGGAGGTTAGGTTGGGCGTGGTGGCAGTGGGGTGGCTGGCGTGGGGAAGGGAGTTTGATTATTTTTTAAAATAAAAATTCAATTTTTTAAAGTTTTTTTTTTTACAATCACGTGTTGACACGTGTCTTGGTAACTGTAATAAGAGGTTGGTGACCACTTGTTGACCAATTGGGATTACTCTAGGTAAACATATCCAATCGTTAGGATTATTAGATAATAAACCTTAGTTGAGATTATTAAAAGTAAATGGTCAATAGTTGGGATTATTAAAGTGTATTTTTCCTTTTAAAAACACACTGAATATAATCACAAATTTCTAGCTGGACCATCAATTTAAAATAGAATAATATCTATAACATCATTATTTTCGGACAAACAGAACTGCAACTATGGGCAAAGGCAAAATAACAGTAGTAGAAACACAATACTGTGGCATCAATTCAAGAGCTAAACAAAACCAAATCACATATGGCAAACATTCATTTCATAAGTTTCAAGGATACATTCATTACACCATAATTAACAACAAACTAACAACACTTAAACAAGATAACTATAACATCAAGCTAATAATAAACAACACCTCTTTAACTAAATTATTAATCAAACACAAAACAATGTACTTATCCTAATCATAATTCTATAATCTTAATCATATTCCTCATCCAGATAATATTGTCCCCATTAAGCTTTTCATCATCCACATCATCCCCACCACCAATAATCACCTCTTATCACCATTTCGCCTTCAACTTTCTGACCTTCAGACACCTCATTCTCTTCCCCATTTTTAGATGCCATATGATCCTTAGCAACTTCAGCTACCACTGCACTTTCAGCCACTTCAGTTCTAGCCATCTCAGGCTTACCTTACTCAGCATCAACCACAACATGATCAGAATCCCCTTTAAGCCTCTTTCTACCCCTTTTTTCTTCTTCAAAACTCCTAATTTCATAAATCTCAGCTACAACTTCATCCTATTGTCTTTCTATCTTGATAATCTTCTTTTCAACTTCAAAACAAATGGCTCTTGCATCTGATAATTGGCCTTGTAAATTAGCCTCCCTGAGCTCAAGATGCTGAAGCCAAGCCTGCACATTGTGTTTCTTAGTAGAGTAGGATTGCTTAGAAAATAAAGCACTAACATTTTCAGCCATGTTAAGATTTAAAACTAAGATAGGAAGAAAATTTATTATACTTTTGAGATTGCCAAAAAAAAATAAAAAATAAAAAATAAATAAATAAAATCCAACCAGGTTACTTTAAAAGAAAAAGGTCTAATGTGCATCAGTTAATACCTAATTTATAGGCATTGTAAATTAGGTAACACTTGCTACACAAATAAAATGAATCTATACTACAAGTTTTTCTTTTTAAATTTGTAAGAATATATAAACTTGTGTGCACTTATGCTTGACTACTTATACTTGAGTTTTGAATTCTATTTTGAAACAACGATCATTGTCAACATATTCAATCCTAATTCATTCCCTAATCTCAATCCAATCAACATAACAATAACATTGAATCAATTATATAGTGAACCACTCAACAACCAAAACATTGCATCAATTATAAACTAAAACTATAGCACTCAACAAGTTTAAGATATTTATTGCCACATATCATTTCTAAACAATGTACTTTGCACACTACAAACAATATACCTATCATAACATCCTACATTAATCATCCTGCATGAATAAAATGCTATAGCATAGATAAATTACACTAATCTAACACTATATAAACTGATCTAAATATTAGTTTTCCTAATCCAGAAAAGATTCAAATATACTTATGCTTGTGTGCACTTATGCTTCACTTTTGAGTTCTATTTTGAAACAACAAACAATATCAACATATTCAAGCCTAATTCATTCACTAATCTCAGTCCATTAGAACACTAAATAACCAAAACATTGAATCAATTAAAAAGTCAAACAATGAATTATAACTTTGAATCAAAAGACAATAACAAAAACATTAACAACTTTAACATAATTATTTATATATACCATTCAAACCACATTACATTTTTAAACAACCTACTTTACACACTACATACTATACCCCAAAAAGTGTGCATGGCAGAAATCTATGCCATTCCTATCATAGCATACTACCAATAGTCATCCTACATCAACAAAATGATATGGCATAGATAAACTACACTAATCTAACAATACATAAATTGATCTTAATATTAATGTTCCTAATCCAAAACAAATCAACTATAACTACTACTAATCTTAATCGAACCCATATGCATCAAAGTTTTCGTTGCTAACTTCATGAGAGTGATGGTGATACGGATATCCATCATCACTCTCAATTCCTCTACCTCATTAGGGACACCATCCTCCCCTGCCTCTTCGTCTTCTTCTACAGCCTCTTCCTCTCCTCCTTGAATTAGACCCTGCTCACCAGCTTCATCATCTTGTTCCTCATCAACTTATCCCTCTTCGTCCTCAACACCGTCATCAGCCTCAGCACCTTCAAATTGAGCCTCCTCCTCCTCAGCACCTTGATCAACCTCCTCTTCTTCAGCTTCCCCTTTTTCATCCTCTAAACTGATATCCATCTCAACACTCCCTCCTTCACCGTCACCAACCTCACCCCCACCTACTTCACCAGCCTTAACTTGCACCTTGGACGATTCACCCACGGATGCATGCACCTGAATCACTCCAACACTAACCACGCCCTCAACACCATCGTCGCTATCATTATCAATTTGAATTACGGCATCACAATCGCTCTCCATTCGAACCCTTTTACTCCCTATTATTTTTTTCCAACTTTCTTGCACTTTAATAGCTCACCATCAATCTCATCAAGTTCCCTTCGCAACTCTTCACACTTACGTGCTGCCTCCAACCGTACATTTACATTTCCCATTAATTGGCCCTTAACATTTGCTTTCCTATACTCAAGCAATTGCTGATATAGGCGCCGAAATGAAGAGGTGCCATTAAAGTTAGCCATTTTAGAAACCGTGATTGAAAAATTGAAGTAGAAAAAGGGTAGAACTTTTGAAGGAAATACGGATTAGCAAAATATGCTAACTACGATAAGTGCAAGATAAGTAAATTCAATTTATTTGCAAACATGCTTTTTAAACCAATTCCAATAATTAATCTAATGATTTCCAAAACTCATGTTTCAAAACCAATTCTCAATAATTCAATAATTCGATGAAACGATTTATAAAAACAATTCCAATAATTCAATAATTCAATAATCAATTCAATAAAACCAATTCCTCTTTTTAAAACCAATTCCTCACCCAACTGTGCACACTCCCAAAGCTAGTCTCCTTTTATTGCAAGGCTATTCTTGAGGACAGACTCAGTCATACAAAGTCCAAAGTCTTATCTACCAAATCCACATAGTGGGATTACTAACATGCTTGTAAAGCTTTAATAATAATAATTCAATAAAATTCCTCTTAAAATAAAATCAACCTTTATAATAGGTTAACTGAAAACTCCTTTTTATTAAATTCAACATGCTTTCAAAATCAACCTTTTAATAAATACTTGAGAATTAAATCT